GATTCGGGTGTCATCTGCAAAGGAAGACATGGTGCTGTGGCTGACATCCTTGTCTATGTCGGATATGAGGATGAGGAACAAGATGGGAGCGAGTACTGTGACCTACAACCCCATCCGTTTACAGTCTGCTTTATTGTCCAACGAATCCGTTTGAATCCAGTCAAGGGTTCGGACCAGTCAAGGGTTCGGACCAGTCAAGGGTTCGGACCAGTCAAGGGTTCGGACCAGTCAAGGGTTCGGACCAGTCAAGGGTTCGGACCAGTCGAGGGTTCGGACCAGTCGAGGGTTCGGACCAGTCGAGGGTTCGGACCAGTCTGATCTGATCAGTGGGTCACTTATTTAAAACATACTGGTCTGTGATTTGGGATAACACATGAAGGATCTACTGGAAGTTATATAGCTGTATAGCCCTTGTGGCTTAGCGCTTCTTTTTGATTATAATAATAATACTGGAAGTTATCTACCCGAGTAATATGTGATTTGATTGATGCAGAAGTATAACTTGCATGTTGAAGAGCCGGTGACTGCTGGCAGCTCCTACAATGACGAACGCTCGAGTCTCAACCCTTGTTTAACCAATCGCTGTATCTAGCTTTTCTAGGTTTTTTTCGTCTCCACCACAATAAATGCTATATTATCACTATAGTTGACTGGTGGAAATTTTGGAGGAAGGACGCTTTTTCTGTAGTAATAATTGCTTCTCGTTGTGTATATTGCGACCGCTGGTAACTACAGGTTATATGAAATTCACAGTATACGTCTGGTATTTCAAGAAAAAAGAAACTAATGAAAGTCACTCCACTCCACTAAGTACCATTATAATACTGGTTAGTTGCTACTACAACACTGTATTCTGCTATTCAATGGTATCACTAGATTATATGCGAGTACATTAGCAGGCCAGGAAGATTATTAAAACAGCTGACCACTGTGGTAAGTTTCTGGCGACTTCTGGCACCTGCCTCTATAGGCTTATCACTTCATTTACAAATTCACCTGTTTTCAAATGACACTTTAGCCTTTATCATCTATATACTAGGGAGCCACTGTAGTATACACTATACACTATGTATACACAATGTTATCAGTGAGACTTTCTTTCCTCTGACAAAAGTTTTATTATTATTATTTTGCACACGGAACACAGGCCTATGATTCCCCTCTGGCAGTAAACTCTGCTAGGTAGTGCACACTAATTCTCCTTTTTTGACTCAGTATATAATGTTTTCCGCCCAAGATTGGTTCCAGGCGCTAGAGGGATGTATCGTATAGGATTGATGACACAAATTAAAGTTCTAGCACGTAAGAGCGACCGTGTAAACACGAGAAAACCCTGAGCACAACTACTACTACTATACTACTACTACTATACTACTACTACTATACTACTACTACTATACTACTACTACTATACTACTACTACTATACTACTACTACTATACTACTACTACTATACTACTACTACTATACTATACTACTACTACTATACTATACTACTACTACTATACTATACTACTACTACTATACTACTACTACTATACTACTATACTACTACTACTACTATACTACTACTACTATACTACTACTACTATACTACTACTATACTACTACTATACTACTACTACTATACTACTACTATACTACTACTACTACTACTATACTAATACTACTATACTACTACTACTATACTACTACTACTATACTACTACTACTACTATACTACTACTACTACTATACCACTACTACTATACCACTACTATTACTACTACTACTGTGGAAATTATTTAATTTCCGAAGCTATAGTGCCTCATAAGTGTTTAATGTGTTGATTTGGGTCAAAATGTATTTATATTTTGAATGGAACCAACTGGGTTCCCGCTGCGCCTGGGCAGATGTGCGGGGGTATAGGTCGAGCTGGGGCACGAGAGGCGGGAGTGTTTTGAATGTAGTGAGGAGGCTGGGAAAGCATGGAACCAGGAAATTGGCGTTCACGGCGGCCTAAGGATTAATATAGGCCTCACTTCATAATAGGAAGTGTCGTAACTGTTCCTGGTGAGGGAACGTGATTTACGGGACCACTGTAAAAGGGTGGTAAAATGAGTGAATAATGGTAGGACCGGGTGACTGGTGTGCAGCCATGGTGTGTGTCCAGGGGAAATACCCGTGAGTTAATCCTCACTCATCGGTCTCGGATCTTAATGGAGTGACCTCTAATGTGTATAATAATTATGAGATATTAAATCGTCTTGTGAATTGTAATGTAATCAGTGATAATAACACTAAGCTAAGAGAATATGTGAAGTGAAATGAGTCGCCGTTCTCAGAGTGAGCATCTGTTTATCTCGTGTTCCTGTCTCGAGGATTGTGAAGTTTTTATGGAGTTACGACTTCTAAACCGGGATAAACCAACGAATACCTCGTCCTGTTGGAATAAGAACTGTGTCGGTGTAGCAGGACATCGAAATGAGATGGTGAATGGAGGAAATAGGAGCATCAATCACCCACAGTTAATTAACCCTTCTAGTTATAGCAGACTGATACTGGCCAGTTAGGTATGTTTTAATTGGATAGGTTATGGGTGATCCAGCCACATCAAGTGACCACCAGAGAATATCTGATAAGTGGTGGGATTATGTACAAGTGTTTTTTCCTTGATGGGTATATCCATGTGTAACCTACCCCCCCCCCCCATCATTCAGTTAAACTAATATAATCTATACAGTCCACAATTAATTAGTAGCGCCGTACTTGAGGGTGCTACCCAATTTATACTGGTCTCGGATAGATATGGATAAGATTGTGAGGGTCGAGGGGCCACCTGCAGTGACCAGAGGTGGTTAAGTTTTCTCACATGTCTACACGGGTGACTGTGGTAGTTGTTAGTTTAATATGTTTATTATGCACCCCATACCCATCCTGTGGGCGGTAGTCAAAAGATTACAGAGGTACATAATGGGTCCAGGGATTGGGCCTCAAAGTTTTGATGGCTGAGTAAGTTACAGAGGTAATGAATTCACAATTTACAAAGGTAATGAACTCCAGGTAGGTCTAGTCACAATCATGACAAGTTACAAAGGTATTAACAGATTATAGAGGTACACAATGGGTCCAGGGACTGGGCCCCAAAGTTTTGATGGCTGAACTAGGTACAAGGTAATGAACTCACAAGTTACAAAGGTAATGAATACTGTAAGAATGGTTACTTGCGTTTATACATGGCTACAATCATGAACAAATTTTAGAGTAATGAGCAATTCACACTTCCACACCCGGTCACAACTGTAGTGAGTTATTGGTGCAAATATTGATTGTTGAGTCACACACACACACACACACACACACACACACACATACACATGACTATGGTAAACAATATCGTTGTTGTCTCCCAAGGAGATTACTCGTATGCATGCAATGTTGAGGTATGTACACCCCTCAAGGAAGGTTCCTTGATGTTGGTGAGGGGCTCTTGATTTAGGGAATTGGATCTGTGCTCCAGTTCCCCGAATTAAGCCTGAATGCCTTCCACATCCCCCCCCCCCAGGCGCTGTATAATCCTCCGGGTTTAGCGCTTCCCCCTTGATTATAATAATAATAATGAGGTATGTACAAGTAATCACTCCTATAAAATTTTCCACAACTATTACTACTACTACTACTACTAGTAGTACTACTAGTAGTACTAGTACTACTACTAGTAGTACTAGTACTACTAGTAGTACTAGTACTACTTCTAGTAGTACTAGTACTACTTCTAGTAGTACTAGTACTACTACTAGTAGTACTAGTACTACTACTAGTAGTACTAGTACTACTACTAGTAGTACTAGTACTACTACTAGTAGTACTAGTACTACTACTAGTAGTACTAGTACTACTACTAGTAGTACTAGTACTACTAGTAGTACTAGTACTACTAGTACTAGTACTAGTACTACTAGTACTAGTACTACTAGTACTAGTACTAGTACTACTAGTACTAGCACTACTGCTATTACTAGTACTAGCACTACTGCTATTACTAGTACTGCTACTACTAGCACTACTGCTATTACTAGTACTGCTACTACTAGTACTACTGCTATTACTAGTACTGCTACTACTAGTACTACTGCTATTACTAGTACTGCTACTACTACCACCACCACCTCTCTTGTCCCGTCCCTGTCTGCTGGCCCATATATTCTCCTTTCTCTCCTTTCTGTTAGTGTGACTTTGTAAATGTTCGAAGTCGGACCAAAACGTCGCCGTGAGCTCCTCCCTCCTATGTGCGGGTTATTGTGTCTTGTTCCAGTCACGGTATTGTGCCTTTGGGTTATTCACTAGTACTGTGGTACGGGTGAAGTTATTACAGTTTCGTGTGTTACAAGTAGGTAATTAGGTAAGGTTTGTCAGGAAACAGGACGAGTGTTTCCTTATGCGGGTCTTAGTCATATGACACACAGCTGGAGCTTTTGGTCATCTGACCGAGGCCTTCCACTGGCTTACCTCTCCACTCCTTTGAAAATTAAGATTTGTTAAATAGGTAGTGTGTGTGTCTGGCGCACAGCAGACGGAGGATCGAGCCTCCACCACATTGTAACTGAATAACCCACGTGGGTGTAACATTTAACATGAGGTTTGATCCAAGGAACCTGAGAATAGCTCCATGCAACAACAATAATCACAATAAATCACTATGCAACTATTAAGACGCCTCATATATAATCTCCCAAAGGAAGTACTGAACCAGCATTTATTTTAATTAAGCAGAAGCACTAAACCTGTATGAGTAATATAGTGCCTGGAGACGGGAAGACACATTTGATCCAAGGAAGGGATGAATATGTCCATTTCTTGGATCAAAAGCCAGTGTCGCCTTCCTTGGTGAAAAAGGGGATACCAGAAATTATTTATTTTTGTAATTGCTCTATGAATACTGAGTTCAGAGCTTCACTCTAACTACAGTAATGCAATAATAGTAATGTGTTAAATGTTTAACTTGGTACTGGTGATGACAGGTGACTGGTAACCAGTACAAGTACTCGTGTGCTGAGGTCTTCTCCCAGTTCCTGGAGGTGCTGACAGGCTGGATCACTGGCATCTCTATCAGCATATGTTTCTTCCAGGTCAGTAGTGACATCTTACCCTCAGGTCAGTAGTGACATCTTACCCTCAGATCAGAAGTGACATGTTACCCTCAGGTCAGTAGTGACATGTTACCCTCAGGTCATCTTCCAGGTCAGTAGTGACATGTTACCCTCAGGTCAGAAGTGACATGTTACCCTCAGGTCAGAAGTGACATGTTACCCTCAGGTCAGAAGTGACATGTTACCCTCAGGTCAGAAGTGACATGTTACCCTCAGGTCAGAAGTGACATGTTACCCTCAGGTCAGAAGTGACATGTTACCCTCAGGTCAGAAGTGACATGTTACCCTCAGGTCAGAAGTGACATGTTACCCTCAGGTCAGAAGTGACATGTTACCCTCAGGTCAGAAGTGACATGTTACCCTCAGGTCAGAAGTGACATGTTACCCTCAGGTCAGAAGGGGACATGTTACCCTCAGGTCAGAAGTGACATGTTACCCTCAGGTCAGAAGTGACATGTTACCCTCAGGTCAGAAGTGACATGTTACCCTCAGGTCAGAAGTGACATGTTACCCTCAGGTCAGAAGTGACATGTTACCCTCAGGTCAGAAGTGGACATGTTACCCTCAGGTCAGAAGTGACATGTTACCCTCAGGTCAGAAGTGACATGTTACCCTCAGGTCAGAAGTGACATGTTACCCTCAGGTCAGAAGTGACATGTTACCCTCAGGTCAGAAGTGACATGTTACCCTCAGGTCAGAAGTGACATGTTACCCTCAGGTCAGAAGTGACATGTTACCCTCAGGTCAGAAGTGACATGTTACCCTCAGGTCAGAAGTGACATGTTACCCTCAGGTCAGAAGTGACATGTTACCCTCAGGTCAGAAGTGACATGTTACCCTCAGGTCAGAAGTGACATGTTACCCTCAGGTCAGAAGTGACATCCCTCAGGTCAGTAGTGACATTCTACCCTCAGGTCAGTAGTGACATTTTACCCTCAGGTCAGAAGTGACATCTTATCCTCAGGTCAGTAGTGACATCTTACCCCCAGGTCAGTCATAACATCTTTCATGACAGTGGAAGGTTCTTTACAGAAAATCGGAAACTGCCCAAACACTGCTCAACCCCTGTGGGTTTAGCACTTCTTTTGCAGATAATCAACATTCAGATTTTGTCTTAAAAGTTCTCGACAAATCACACTTTTTCTCTTGCTAGACTTTTCACGTGTTGAATCAGGGAAGCAGTAAACCCACAAGGGTCATACAGGAGCTAAGGAAGTGGAAGGTCAATCAGGTTCAATTCAAGGGGAGAAGTCCAACTCCTTGGATCAAGAGCTCCTTGCTGGATGAAAAGAGGAATTCACTTGTTAAGTATCAACCAAATCTTTAAATGGGCCGCAGAAAAAAATATGAAGTTCAATGATTAGAAATTTCAATTGCATTGTTAGTTTAATACAGTGGACCCCCGCTTAACGATCACCTCCAAATGCGACCAATTATGTAAGTGTATTTATGTAAGTGCATTTGTACGTGTATGTTTGGGGGTCTGAAATGGACTAATCTACTTCACAATATTCCTTATGGGAAAAAATTCGGTCAGTACTGGCACCTGAACATACTACTGGAATGAAAAAAGTTCGTTAACCGGGGGTCCACTGTATCTTCATTATGCACCCATGGACCCTCGGTTTTCGATTAATCCATTCCAGAGATTGACGAAAATCGAAATTCATGAAAACCAAAATCATATTCCCAATAAGAAATAATGTAATTCCAATTAATCCGTTCCAGACACTCAAAAGTATTAACAAAAAATATTTTTTTTAGATTAAATATAGAATTACTTACAGAAAAGAATGACAAATTAATATATAGCAATCATGAAGTGTATAAATGAACATTTAACATCACACTTATCTTTATTGAAGACTCTTGTTGGTGTATGGAAGACGGGAGGAGGGGAGAGGGAGGAGAAGGGATGGAAGTGATTGTTGAATGGGACTTCTTGTCCATCCTGGCAAGCTCGGCCACATGTACGCCACTTTCATATTTTTCTATGATTTCTTTCTTTCTTAGGGCCCATGGTGGCTTATTTAGCAGTTGCAAGCACAAAAAACAATGGATTATTATGAAATGTTTTGTATGAATGCACGGGGTGATGCTTACTCACTGAGAAAAAATGCCACACTGACTCAGAATGCATGTGTGGAAGGCTTTGTGTTTGTGTGGCCACTGGGACATGTTCTGTACGACCACTGAAATCAGAGGGAAATCACTAACACCAAGGCTATATTTTGACGAAAAGTTGCCAATAACCGAAATTCACAAAAACAGAGACTCACAAAAACTGAAGGTCCGCCCAAAAGAGTCAGACAGTGACTTATTTTCATTGGGGTCCTTTACTGCTGCACACTAACAGCACCTTTCAAGGCAGGTGAAATTGCTGATCTAGAAAATGTACAGAGAACCTTCACAGCACACATTACTGCAATAAAACGCCTCAATTACTGGGAACGCTTGAAATCCCTCATCCTGTACTCCCTAGAATGCAAGCGGGAGAAATACATGATTATATACAACTGGAAAATCCTAGAGGGATTAGTACCAAATTTGCACACGAAAATCACTCCTTGTGAAAGCAAAAGATAAGATAAGATAAGATTTCGTTCGGATTTTTAACCCCGGAGGGTTAGCCACCCAGGATAACCCAAGGAAGTCAGTGCGTCATCGAGGACTGTCTAACTTATTTCCATTGGGGTCCTTAATCTTGTCCCCCAGGATGCGACCCACACCAGTCGGCTAACACCCAGGTACCTATTTGCTGCTAGGTGAACAGGATAACAGGTGTAAGGAAACGTGTCGAAATGTTTCCACCCACCGGGAATCGAACCTGGGCCCTCCGTGTGTGTGAAGCGGGAGCTTTAGCCACCAGGCCACCGGGCCACCTTCACCAAATTCAACTTCAGTAAAAAAAAAACGTAGGGTGGGACCAAGTAAACCAAGTCCTAAATGATATAAACTGAGAAGATGGACTAAGCAACACGGATCCTACCCTATGTCTAGAACAAATTAACTCTGTGGCACTTGAGGTATGCTCAAGGCATATTCCCCGCTCTTAAAAGATCTAAACTTACTCAATGTACAGGACATTAACACTTACTACTGTGCAGCCTACATTTACAGAACCGTAAATTCCAGTATTAACCCTGAACTAAAACACTTTCTTGATAGTTGTAACAGGATCCACAGGCACACATTGGCGACATTGCAGACCTGGAGAGTGTACGAAGAACTTTCACGGCACACATAAGTGTGATAAGGCGCCTAAACTACTGGGAACGGTTGAAGGTCCTTGATCTGTATTCCCTGGAATGCAGGTGAGAGAGATACGTGATAATATACACTTGGAAGGTCCTGGAGGGATTGGTACCAAACCTGCACATGAAAATCACTCCCTTTGAAAGCAAAAGACTCGGCAGGAGATGCAACATTTCCCCCCAATGAAAAGCAGGGGTGCCACGAGTATTCTGAGAGACAACACAATAAGTGTCCGGGGCCCAAGACTGTTCAATTGCCACCCAGCATACATAAGGGGGATTACCAATAGACCCCTGACTGTCTTCAAGAAGGCACTGGACAGGCACCTAAAGTCAGTACCTGACCAACCGGGCTGTGGTTCGTACATCAGCTGGTATGTGGCCAGCTGTAACAGCCAGGTTGATCAGACCCTGATCAACCATGAGGCCTGGTCTCAGACCGGGTCGTGGGGACGTTGGCCCCCGAAACCCTCTCCAGGTAAACACCACTAGGCACAAAAATCTCCGTGACATTCCCTGTGTCCGGCTAAACCTATACAAAAATTCAATGTACATAAAAGGACCTAAATTCTGGAGCACCCTACCTGAAAACTCTAGAACTGCAGACATGACCATCACTTTCAAAACTACCGTTAAAAAACATCTTTTCTCCCTGACACTCCCCACCGTCAGCTAACTGCATGAAAACTGCCTATTCTCTTACTTGTATCATACACACATGAAAAACAAACTAGACCTGCTCTCAATATCTGTGATTTCCCCAGTTTACACTCGTCCAAATGACTGTAAACGTAAAATTATGTAATAAAGCTATTACCTAATGAATCTTAAACTAGTCATAAGTTTGCCTGAGATACTCCAATATAGGAGCTTTAATAGACACTATGTATCATGTCAATACAAAACCATTCTCATTGCTAAATTTACAAACTGTAATGCAGTTACCTAGCCTTAATATAAATATGCTCCATAACCTGTATCAATATAGTTTTAATTATTATTAGTCTGCCTGAAATGCTTAGTCATGCTAGGCATGATAGTGTCCCTCTCTGTAATTAGTATTTTATAATATGTAAACCCACATTGTAACCAATATTTCATAATATGTAAACCCCACATTGTAATCTTTATAGAGAATAAACTTTTTATTTGAAATAAAAAGAAAGGAAAAGAAGATGTACACTAGAAAGACAGAGATTTTTTTAGATTTTGCCACCGAAGTGGCTAGTTTATTGTGCACCCCATATCCATCCTGTGGACGGTAGCGCGAGAGCATATGGATACACAAAAGGCCTAGGAACTAGGCCCCAAAGGGTTAACATGAATACATATGGATTTATATCTACATATCTATAGTTCACTTATCTGTTACAAGCAAATTTAGGAAATTTGCTTAGTATATCTGGTATCTTATTTTCATTAATAAGATATCTTGACATGTCACATAGGTTATTATACTGTCTGTCTCTGTATTCCTCAATAAGTGGACAATTAAGCACATAGTGTTCAGGAGAGTGACCATATGCCTGATCACATAATTTACATTTAGTTTGATCATCATCTGTGTGTCTCCCAAACTGCCAGAAGTACTTGTAACCAAGCCTAAGCCTGGCCACTACAACATCAGTCAATCTGTTCACATTGCAAGTTGCTCCATAAACATACTTATCTACGTTCATGTTATCATAGTGGGTTATAGATCTACTCAGGCTTCTAACTGCATTC